CATAAAAACCTCAAATGCTGGGCCAGCTGGTGGTATGGTATTTAAGGTGGCTGGATCCCACATAGCCAGCTGAGTTGTTTGAATCCCAGATTTAGTGGCTTGAGGAACACTCCAGGTGTGTGTGCATGTGTGCCCAAAATCTTGAGATGGATGCATGGACATGGGATTGTGACATGGCTATCCCCCATGGGTGATGTTCTCTTGCTTTCTCTCTCTTTCTCCCTCCAGCAAGTATGTGCACCCTCTAGCAAATTAAGAGAGAGAAAGAGAAAGAGAGAAAACCTCGAGTGCCAACAATGCTTTGTTTCTCTGTTCACTATTAACATTTAACATAAATATCAAAAGATATCACTTAATATTGTTATGAAATATTGCAACCTATTGATTTGTCAAATAACTGTTTAAAATGCTTTCATAGGGAAAAGAAAACTGCAATCTGTTTTTATGCAGAGGCATTCCTTTTATTCCATAGCACATTAGCATCTTTTGTACGTGACCTTTCATACATTTTGAAGTATTATATAAATGGTCTCTAATTTGAGGGGTAGCAAGGAGGGGAACAAAATGCTTATGTGAGTTTAATTTACTTTGTGCAATTGCAGAACTTGCTCTGCAGAACAAATGATAGATAAAATGTATGTACTATGAAACTCATTGTAATTATAAAAACATCTCATTTTCAGGTCTTTATTGTACAATTACTTAAATGATTATTTCCAAGAAGAATGTGATCCAGAAAACACTTTATAAAAAGTGACTATTTTGAATTGAGAAACGACTTGCCCTCCCTCTAATTACCTTAGACTGGACATAATCATTTTAGTTATCTGTTTGCTCCAATCTGTTCTCTCTTTTTCTGTTCTCTTTTTTTCTTCTTTTTCTAAAGTAGATGAAATCTAGATCCTTCAACACTTCCACTGCTATGTGGTACTACATCAATTAATTAGATGATGGAGACACCAAGGTTCTTAATAGGAAAGCGATCTCTTCTCATACCCACAGTGTGCAGTTAAGTTCATTGATACCACTATTGCTCTATATAGATTATTACTTCTTTTCTTCCTACAATTCATTCATCTGTCCTTTATGGACTGTTAAATTTGGAATGTTGTGAAATCAGTAAAAAAAAAAAAAAAGGAACAATAACAATGAATCGTCTTTTATTATTTTCTTTTCTTTTCACTGGCATCTATTTACTGGTGGTTGACCATTTGCCAGATGGGCTCAATAGTAATTCTATATTTTTAACGTTTTTGACCTACGCTTTCCTAGATCCATAAGAACCATCAAAAAGTACCATGAATTGCATCCTCCTAGCTGAAAGGGTTCGGCAATTGTAGGAGGAACAGAAAATGCATTAACTCTTTCCTTCTTCCTCTTTCCTTCTTCTCCTTCTTCCTCTTCTTCTCCTTCTCCTTATTCTTTTCTTGCATTATAGTTTGGCTTTCTAAAGAATGGAATTTGAAGCAAAGCTTAAATTCCATGTTATATCCCTGTTGCTTCATAGCATAATGCATGTTTGCAAACATAGGCATATTGAATACACAAAATGGATTGACATAACAAACAATCCCAGGAATATGTCTTGTAGGGAATTAGGGAAGATAGTGAAATTGGCTTGAAGATAGAGCTTCTAGACTTTTTTTCCCTGCTTAGGTGTTGATTACCTATGTAGATTATCTAATGCAGGACAATGTTAACACCTAAATTAAGTTACCTTGCTCTATATGCTTAGTCTGCTCTGGATAGGTTGCTGCAGAAATCTTGTGAAAATTTTTCATAAGAGTAACTAAAGGGGGACCAGTAGTTAGCGTAATGGCTATGTCGCTGGACTCTCATGTAATCAATCGCGGTTTGAGTCCCAGACCCGGTGGCTTAAAACTCACGCCAGGTGCGTGTGCGTGCGTGCCCAAGATCCCGAGAGGAGAATGGAGGAGAAGGGATTGCGGCATGGCCATCCCCCCCTGGGGGTGATTTCTCACTTTCTGTCTTTCCTGGCGAGCACATGCACCCTATAGCAAAAACGCAACCGCCCCCCTATAGCAAAAACCCCTCTAAAAAAAAAAAAAAAAAAAGAGTAACTAAGGGGATGACCTTCACAATGCCAAACAGGAAACTATTTTAAAATATTATTTAAATGCAACTAAGTTTACTCAGTGAAGTGATATCATTTTAACACCATAATTTTTGAAATGCATGGAAAATTTGAAGCTTGGAAAAAAATGACTTCAACTGCAATTAAGTATTTTGAAAGGCATCTATGGTTAAAGCCAAACCACATCAAAACATTAACATAGAAAATGAAAAGTTTATCCCATCGTGTAGTTATTTAATCCAATTGATATCAAACATTAAGCATTTAAACAATACCTAAACAAAACACAAAGCTGATTAAAGAAATTTCAGTGCTACATTTAAGTGTTTTGGCAACCCATGGACAAAGTTCAAATCACTTTAGGTCCCAGTAGTGACAGTAATGTGTTATCTATTTCCCATAAATGATTAGTTCAGTAACTCAAGGTGCACTTGGAACTATTTTAAGTACACCTCATGTTCTACTTCAAACAAATGCAAATACTAATTACAGTGAGGGGGCCAGCAGGTGCCCTGGTGGTTAGAGCGCTGGGCTCCCACATGGCTGATTGTGGTTCAGGTCCTGGACTGGGAAACTTTCTTTCTTTCTCTCTCTCTCGCCAAAGTGAAGAATAATGATGCTAAAATAGCTAAAATGAAATTAAATAAATAATTCGTAAAATAATTGCAATGAGATGCATTTGTCCACATTAAGTTGGTCAAGTGTTATAAAACTGACTTTGGTATATGCAGAATCATGCATGTTTTGTGCTGCTGATGTGCATGTTAACCTTATCACAGGTCAGTTTGACTCTAATGTCAAAAGGCTTGATACAGATCCTTTGACTGGAAATTTAACTTCCAGAGATTCATCTTAAGGAAATAATCATGGACATGAATTAAAATATAGGTCAAGAATGTTCCTTATCATGATGTATATAAAAGTAGAAAACAACAAATCTTAGTCTGGTGATAATTGCAGAATACAACGATGTGATAAAAATTAGATTCCGGACATCATTTTGAGGCCATGTAAAAATGTTCATGACAAATGAAGTGATCTATAACGTAGTTTATCTTGTTTGGGGACCAGAAGTTGCCATAATGACTATGTCACTGGACTCCCATGTATCGACCACGGTTCGAGTCCCAGACCCAGTGGCTTAAACTAATGCCAGATGCGTGTGCGGCCTGCCCAAGATCCTGAGAGGAGAATGGAAGAGAAGGGATTGCGGCGTGGCCGTCCCCCTTTGGGGAGGTGATTTCTCCCTTTCTGTCTCTCTGTCTCTCTTTGTCTTTCTGGCAAGCGCACACACCCTATAGCAAAAACCTCTCCAATAAATAAATATAAATAAATAAATAAATAAATAGTTTATCCTGTTTGATTCCATTACAAAATACATTGGCAGACATAGGAGAAATCGCCTGACCTACCCCTGATCTCAAGCTTCTGAGATGTAAACACCGGTTATATTTGCTTTCACTACCTTTTGATTTTTCCACAATTATTATGTATTTCTTTTTAATTTAAAAATTATTTTACATTAAATGTGTATGAAAAGTTGTATGAGTTTTAAATCGTGTGATGTTCTGTAGTATAAATACTTATATTTACTTTCTGGTATCATTTTTAGGCTACGCAGCACCCCAAATAAAGATGAAGTAATGTTTTCATAGGTGATCAAAAATACGGAGACTAAAAAGTTCACTAATGCTTACGTGTTTCTCACCATTACTTTTTGAGGTCTCCAGATCTGCTGTAGAAGGCTTTCCTGCCTGAAATGATTTTACCTGGCTTCTCTCTCTCCCTGCAATTCTCATTTTTCATGTATAGTCTGGCCTCTTTTTTATCTACCATTTATCATACTTTCTGACGCATCTCAAGACTTTTAGATGAGAAAAGAATTTCCACCAAAGATGCTTACGCATCAAAGGCTCCTAGTAATTAAAGGAAAGTATTCTTTATTACGGTATGTAACTTTTTAATAGTTGATATTTTTCAATGAGACATGCCTGATTCTTTTTTTCCTCGATTTGAGACAGGCAGGGGCCATGAGCAACCATTTTTGGTTTTCTAAATTAGGCACTAATTAAACATTTTATTTGGAAAATAACTTTTTCTAAGCCCAATGGCTTTCAAGTAAAAATTTAATGAGAAGTTTTGTTAGACAAATCTGAACTCTAACATTAGGAGAGCACTGTTAATTTCCATATA